TGGATGTGGCCAGACGGGGCCCAGCTGTGAAGCAAGGCAGGCTACTACTACTGGGCCTTGGGCCTTCATTTGGAAGCTCTGGCAATCTTTGACCCAGCTGCAGTTTGACAGGCTTTAGGCAGAGAAAGGACAGGCTACTTCTGTGCAAAAGCCAATGCGTACAGCTTGAGTTGGGTTGTTGTAAATTGGGTGGGGCAGGGTCTCTGGGAATCACCAGGGCAGAGTAAACATCAATGGCTGCCCGTCAGCCCTGCACTGGAGAGGTCCCCGCATCTCCACGTCCCACATCCTATCGCAGGAACAATGATCACTGCGAGCACCTCTGAGAGAAAGCCGACCTTGCATTCCTGTCCTGATGTCAGACAGTCCAGTTTCTCCCCATATGTGCCGGGTCCCCCAGAGTCTCACCCAGAACCCGAGTTCAGAGGCAGTGGGAGCTTGTATCCCCCTCCCGATTAAAAGAGCAGCACATCCATGTGCCAGCACTTTCTGCACCTCCGCACCCCTTACCACTCTCACTGCGCTTTCTTCACCTCTCTAGTTGTGGAACTTCCACTCAGCCAGCTTTCCTGTGGTCCTGGGTGGTGGTAGTTCTGCCTTTCAGTTGTAATTTTGTTGTGGTTGTGAGAGGCAGCAAGTACCTATGCCACCATCTTGGTTCTCAGTATTTTTTAAATAGTTTATTTTTATACGGAGAGAGAGATAGAAACATTTATTGGAGGTTGTCTCCGACAATGTCCGTCTCTCCCACCCCCAGGATCAAGCCAGCAACTTTTCGGTGCATGGGACAACCAACTGAGCCACACCAGCAAAGTTGAAAAACTCAGGATTTTATTTCTTTCATTAATCCTCACCCAAGGGTATTATTTTCATTTCATTTTAGAGAAAGTGGAAAGGCCGGGGAGAGAGAGAAACATCTATGTGAGAGACACTTTGATTGGTTGCCTCCCACATGTACCTGACCAGGGCCAGGAATCAAGCTGCTACCAGTATGTGCCCTTGACTGGAATTGAACCCAGGACCCAGCTGACCCTCTATCCACTGAGCCAAACTGGCTAGAGCAGAAAACTCAGTATTTTTAAGGGATCAGTTCTACCAAAGGGATCTATCTAAGGTTCAAAGAAATTCTAATAAAAATCCCATCAGGCTCAGTGTAAAAATTGACGGCCTAAATGTAAAGTTTATGTGGAAATCTGAAGACCTTAAAAAAAATAGCCAAGGCACTTTTGACTAAAAAGAGAAATTTGGAGAACTCTGCTGTCTTACTTCAAAACTTTGTTATAGCTAAACTAATCAAGACACTGTAGTTTTGGCATAAAGATAGAGGTATGTATCATTGGAACAAAGTATAAGTAAATCCACACATAATGGTCACTTGATTTTTAACAAAAATACATAGGTAATTCAATAGGGAAGTGATAGTTTTTTTCAACAAAATAATGCCAGAACACCAAAATACACATGTGGGGGGAAATGAACCTTACACAAAAATAACACCATACACAAAAATAACACCAAATGTGTCATCATGGATCTAATTCAAAAGTTAAATCTTCTAAAGCAAAACATTGGAGAAACTTTGCCAACTTAGAATAAGTAAAAATGGCCCGACATCACAAAAAACAAACAAACCCCACACTGTATAAAGAAGCAACTGATACATTAAAAATGACTGCTTGTCAAGATACTGTTAATAAAATAAAAAGGTATGCCACAGATTGAGAAAAAATTTGCAATAAATGTATCTACAAAGGACTTCTATCCTAAATTCATAAAGAATTCTTGTAACTCAATAGTAAAAAGACAAACATCCTGATTGTTTTTTACTGGGCAAAATATTTGAATAGAAACTTTTACCAAAGACTTCTTTAATGTCAAATAAGCACATAAAAGATACTCAACAGAATTAACTCTCGGGGCAGTGCAAATTCAAACCTCAGTAGGAAACACTGCACATCCACTGAAGTCACTAAAATGAAAAGACCACCAATACCAAGCTCTGATGTCTATGGAGTAGGTAGAACTCATACATTGTTTTTAGAAATGCAAAGTAATCTAGCCACCTTCAGAAACATTTTGTATCTTATAAGATTACATAAATACACATTTACTATCCAACCCAGCAGTCCCATTCATAGGTATTTACCCAAGACATCATACATTAAAAGATTTACCCTTCAATGTTTATTGAAAATTATTCATAACGAGAGGCCCAGTACATGGATTCATGCGCCAGTGCGGTCCCTCGGCCTGGTCTGCAGGGATCAGGCTGAATCTGGCCACATGCACAGATTTGTCCAGGGTGTGTCTGGCCCATGTCTAGTCAGTCTCTCCCATTCCTGATCAAGGACAATTGGAGCTGGCTGGCTGGGGAGGGACTGTGGGAAGTGGCTGGCTGGGGAGAGAAATTTGGAGAACTCTGCTGTCTTACTTCAAGACTTTGTTATAGCTACACTAATCAAGACATTGAAGCTAATCTACTGATTGGAGCACCTGCCCCCTGGTGGTCAGTGCACATCATAGCAACTGATTGAATGGTCAGACACTTAGCGTTAGGCTTTTATTATATGGGATAGCCACAAACTGAAAACAACCCACATTTTTAAAATTTTATTTTATTGATTTTTTACGGAGAGGAAGAGAGAGAAACATCAATGACAGAGAAACATCGACCAGCTGCCTCCTGCACACACTCTACTGGGGATGTGCCCGCAACCAATGTACATGCCCTTGACCAGAATCGAACCTGGGACCTTTCAGTCCACAGACCTACGTTCTATCCACTGAGCCAAACCAGTTTCGGCACAACCCACATTTTCTCACCTGGTTACTAGATAAGCAAAGTTTGTTTTCTCCATTCAATGGAACACAAAGCAATAAAAGGAAACAAACTTACTGGTATACACAACCACATGGATGAGCCTCAAAAACATAATAGAAAATTGCCGAAACCAGTTTGGCTCAGTGGTGGCGCGTCGGTCTGCGGACTGAAGGGTCCCAGGTTCGATTCCGGTCAAGGGCATGTACCTTGGTTGCGGGCACAGCCCCAGTAGGGGGCATGCAGGAGGCAGCTGGTCAATGCCAATTTCTCATCAATGTTTCTAACTGTCTATCCTCTCCCTTCCTCTCTCTGAAAAATCAAAATATATTAAAAAAAAAAAATAGCCTCCAGTGTGGATTAACAACAATTAAAAAATTTAGAAAAATCTGAATGATCTGGGAGAAAAGTCAATATGCCAAAATATTAAATATATATTTATCTTTTCACCTAACACTTGTACTTTTGGAAAATTTTTCCTAAAATGATTTAATGAGGACTCAAAGTATATATGTAGCCCAGCCAGTGTGGACCAGTGGTCCACCCATGAACCAAGAGTTCGATTCTCAGTCATTGTACAAACCTGGTTGCATGGTAGATCCCCAATGTGATATGTGCAAGAGGCAGTCTGCCTGCAACCTGGGCATGTGACCTGACCAGGAATAGAACCAGCAACTTCTTGGTTCATGGATTACCAATCTATCACTGAGCCACAACAGCTGGGCTTTTTTTTTTTTTTTACATTTTTTAAATCAGCCTTACTGTAGTACAGTTTACACATAAAATCCACTAATTCCTTGTTTAAAATTAGGTACATTTTTATAAAAGTACACAGTACTGTAACCATACCATAATCATGATATAGAACATTTCCTATCTAACAAGTTCAATCATGGCCCTTTGCAGTGAATTCTCTTCTACATTTACTCCTTAAAAACCTTTGTTGTATTTTCTATCACTACAGCTTTGACTTTTCTGGACTGCAAGAGGGCGCAGGCCGGGCTGAGGTTCCCCTCCTCCACGCCTCCCCGTGTGTGAAGTTTTGTGCACCAGGGCCTCTATGCATATATATTGATTTCAGAGAGGAAGGGAGAAGGAGAGGGACATAGAAACAGAGATGAGAGAGAATCATTGATCGGCTGCATCCTATACGCCCCACACTGTGGACAGATCCCACAACCAGGGCATGTGCCCTAACTGGGAGCCGAACCGTGACCTCCTAGATCAAAGGTCAACGCTCACCCACAGCTGTCTGGGTGGTTGTGTTTCTTGATCTGGGGTATTGGTTACTCGGGTGTATTCAGTTTGTGCAAGATCATTGAACTGTACAATTAACATTTGTGCACTTTTTGAGGGTTTTATTTCAATTAAAAAGTTAAATAGCCCTGGCCAGTTTGGCTCAGTGGATAAAGCCACAGCCTACAAACTGAAGGGTCCTGGGTTTGATTCCGATCAAGAGTATGTATCTCAGTTGCAGGCTCCATCCCTGGCCCCAGTGGGGGTTTATGCTGGAGGCAACCAATCAGTGTCTTTCTCATGTCTATGTTTCTCTCCATCCATCTCTTCAGATCAGTGAAAACATATCCTTGGGTGAGGATTATAAGAAAAAAAAAGAATCTGGAAAAAAAAAAATCCCTTCATTACAAAACAAAACAAAGTAATAATAATTTGCCCCAGAGCAGAGATTAAACGTACAACCTAATATGTGCTTGACTGGAATTGAACCCGTGACCCTTCAGTTGTCTAGGATGATGTTCCAACCAATTGAGCCACAGTGGCTAGGGCTTAGATTATCTTTTTAATGTTAGTTTTTATGACATTTTCCACTGAGCCAAACCAGTTAGGGCAGTTTTTATGACATTTTAAATAAATATTTCAAATGAAATTATTGTATATCATGTATTGCACTTTCAATAATTTGAGCTCATTTTAGTAGTTGTCAAGTGCTTGGTTCATAGGAATGGGAAAGCCACAGGAACCAAAATAAGTCTCACAGGTGTGACTTTTGGTTTGCTCTCCATCAGGGGAACTTAGTGCCCAAATTCTCTTAAGAACACCTTGCAAGGAAATTGTCAGTTTATCAACTGACATTAACTGCAAGTTCCACTCTAGTATATGCTGTTATATTAATCACTATTGGAAAGGCATGACATGCTCTGCTACCCTTCTTCATCTTCACTAGTCAATGATGAGTCTTCTCGAGATGCTGAAGTCACAGCCAGGGAGCACATGGGATCCAGCAGCTCCCTCCAGGCCCGGGACGAGAAGCAAGAGCCGGTGGTGGTAAGGCCCTATCCGCAGGTGCAGATGCTGCCTGCGCACCATGCTGTGGCCTCGGGCACCCCTGTGGCTGTGACAGCCCCACCAGCACACCTGACGCCTGCAGTGCCGCTCTCCTTTTCCGAGGGCCTGATGAAGGTAATGCAGAGCTTTACAATTTCACATTGAACCACAGCTAAAGACTGGCTGTGATATTGCTGACCATTTTCACCAAGTTTGAGGCTGAGTCCTAGTACCATAGTTTGCTTTGACCTATCAGTTCAGCTCTTCTTGGAACTCGGAGTTCTGCTGTTCCACAGTGTCTAGTCTTACGCAGCTGAGCAGTTGGCATTTTAGGAACTTTTCCAGTACTCATTTGACATTGATTTTATTCAAGTTATAGACATGCTAACTCAGCTGATCAATGATTCTCTGGGAGTAGCACTCTTTTTTTTTTTTTTTTTTTTTAATTGATTTCAGAAAGGAAGGGAGAGAGAGAAACATTAACGATAAGGGAGACATCTTTGATTGACTGCCTCTTGCATGCCCCCACTGAGGATTGAGCCGCAACCCAGGCCTGTGCCCTTGACTGGATTTGAATCTGGGACCCTTTAGTCCACAGGCTGACACTCGATCCACCAAGTCAAACTGGCTAGGACTGGAGTGGCACTCTTCGCCAAGGTTTGGTTTGGTTTTAATCTTCACCCAAGGATATGGTTACTTATCTTTTTTAGAGAGAGAGAGAGAGAGAGAGAGAGGGAGAGGGAGAGAGAGAGAAACATCCATGTGAGAGGGAACATCATTGGCTGCCTTCCATACGTGCACTGGGTGGGGATTAAACCCACAACCTAGCTATGTGCTCTGACGGAGAATTGAACCCACACCCTTTCAGGGTATGGAGGGCACTCCAGCCAACTGAGCCCCTGGCCAGGGCCAGAGTTTTATTTTGTGTGTGTGTGTGTCATTTTTTTTGTTCGTTTTTTAAGATATATTTTTCTTGATGTCAGAGAGGGAGAGAGAGGGACTCATTGATCAGCTGCCTTCTGCACGCCCTACACTGAGGATTGAGCCCACAACTCTGGCATGTGCCCTTGATCAGAATCAAACCTGGGACCCTGCAGTTCATAGGCTGACACTCTATCTGCTGAGCCAAACCAGCTAGGCCCGAGGTTTTCTTTTTTTTTTTTAATATATTTTATTGATTTTGTACAGAGAGGAAGGGATAGAGAGAGAGTCATCGATCAGCTGCCTCTTGCACACCCCCTACTGGGGATATGCCCGCAACCAAGGTACATGTCCTTGACTGGAATTGAACTCGGGACCTTTCAGTCCCCAAGCCGACGCTCTATCCATTGAGCCAAACCGGTCTCGGCCCGAGGTTTTCTTTTAATAGCTTGCTAATTTGGGGATAAATGAGAATATTGCCTTGTATATTATCTTGTGTCATGTTTCAGTTCCTGTGAGGTTTGCTTGCTTCTGCTCACTCCTGGGGGAGGCAGCATTGTGTAGGAGAATGTGGGCTGTAAGCCGTATAGATCTGGACTTTATGCCCGTTCCCGTTGTTGCTCTTCGTGTGTCTTTGAGCAAATGACAGACTTGTTTTGCATGTTCCTCATCTGTGCTGATCCTCCAGCGGAAAAGCTATGATGATGAGAGGAAACATAGAAGGCTTCTGGCATCTTTACTTTTGTCCCATTGCTGAGTACTCTAAGTTGTCTGCCCCCTCCAGGGTTGACTTGTGTACTTTTAACTTTAACACGAAATGCGTTACTCATGCACCGTTGTGGGTAACGTTTCGTGTGCTTTTCGGTTTGCAGCCGCCCCCGAAGCCCACGATGCCTAGCCGTCCCATCGCTCCTGCTCCACCTTCTACCTTGTCACTCCCTCCCAAGGTTCCAGGGCAGGTCACAGTTACCATGGAGAGCAGCATTCCTCAAGCTTCAGCCATTCCTGTGGCGACCATCAGTGGACAACAGGTTTTCCCCTCTTAATCTATTGATTTTCAAACTGAGATGCCAAACTAGACCATTATTTATTGAATGTCAGCAGTGTATCAGGCACTGCACTAAGTAAAAAGTTAAACAGGCATTCATATCTGCAAGAGGAAGATGGTAGGTTTGAGAGAGAAGTAGCTACGGTGAATAAAACCAAATGCACAGTGGTCTGTTGTTTGGCCAGTAAAGGCCGAGATCTGCTCTGTGTGAGGCACTGCCTGCCCTGAGATACAGATCTAGAGAAGACAGTCCGTGTCCTTGCGCTCAGAGCCCGGTGGTGCTTGGTTGTAGTTCAGCATGTGGGTGGGTTGAGAGATCGCATAGCAGTATTGCTTTTCTAGGTTTTGCTCTGAGGACAGCAACTGTATCTCTCTTGAGTGACTGGCGGGTTCTCTAGCAGTCCACCGATCAGGAACAGTTATTTTTAAGTCTTTTGGGGGTTTTGGGTGTGTGTGTGTGTGTGTGTGTGTGTGTGTGTTATTTTTCCATTGATTTTTAGAGAGTGGAAGAGAGAGGGAAGAAAAAATATTGATGTGAGAGAAACATGGATTTGTTGCCTCCTGCATGTGCCATGACCACAGCCTGGGCCAGGGAGGAGCCTGCAACTGAGGTACATGCACTCGACTGGAATTGAATCTGGGAACCTTTGGTCTGCAGACAGACACTATCCACTGAATCACACTGGCTAGGACTTAAAGTCTTGTGTTTTAACTTAAATTTTTTTTTTGAAAATGTAATTCTTCTGCATAATATATACAGTATTTGATTTACTTAAATATTTTATCGATAAATTACCCATGAAAAATACTAAACCTCAAAACTTTCCCTTTTAAGTTTTCAAGGAAAAAAAAATCGGTATTCCAAAAAGGTGCATTGTGTTTTACTTTTGTCCCATTGCTGAGTACTCGAGGAAGTTGTCTGCCACCTCCCCCCACCAGCCTCCTGCCCTGCCCCCAAACACACACACACACACACACACACACACACACACACTCACACGAGAAACACTGGCATTAGTGTTGGGAGAATATGAGGAAGGGGTGTGTAGGGGTGAACTGAAGAACCAGTATAGGAGTACTTGCTGGATGCTAACTGACATTTACTTAGAAACAGAGCATAAAGAATGGATGACTGCAGTGGCATGCAAAGGAAATGGTGAGAATAGGAAAAAAAAAAAAAAGCTTTTGGCCATGACAGAAAACAAGCCTGAAAGAGTAATATTGAAGATGAGAGTGTCCAGAAGTGGCCAGTCAGTTGTGGCATGTGTCCCGGGTCCAGCTAGTGGGTAGGTTCACCGTCACTCACCGGGCCTGCCCACAGGCCACCGTGCAGCGTGCTGTGGGGAAGAGCCCAGTGTCCTTCCCTGGGCGAGGCACTCTGAAAGGAGCAGCTGGTCCACATTTGGAGACCGCGGACCTACCAGAAGTAACATCTAAGCCACAGGGGCTTCAACTCGCAGGGCGAGAACATTGCCTCGTGTCTGTTGCAGGGCCATCCCAGTAACCTGCACCACATCATGACCACCAACGTGCAGATGTCCATTATCCGCAGCAGCACTCCTGGGCCACCGCTGCACATCGGAGCTTCACATTTACCTCGAGGTAAAGTCTGCACGTTTTGTTCAAATTCTTGAAATGCAGTATACATTTGGTAGAAGATATGGTTACACAAAACATATCCGGAACCAGTTTATTCACATGACAAGACAGTAGAAATAAGTGCAGTACATGTTTTTAGCATCATGTAGTATGTGCTTATTATAGATACAACAAGTATGTGTATGTGTGTGTAAACTTAAAGCAACTTAGATTTTTTTTTAAATAAATCTTTATTGTTCATATTGTTTTCAAAAGTTCCTCATTTTTTCCCCCTCCACCAGGTTCCCACCCCACCCTCTGCTCTTTCACCACCTCCCATTGTCCTCATCCATAGGTGCACAGTTTATGTTCAGTCTCTTCCCACACCTTACACTCCCCTTCCACTCCCCTTCCATACCTCTGATTTTATTACAGTATATTCAACAGTTAATATTGTTCATCAGATTTTTAAATTTTTTTCCCTTGGTTTTTAGATTCACTTGTTGATAGTATTTGTTGTTCAGAATTTTTAGATTCACTTGTTGATAGTATTTGTTGTTCAGAATTTTTATCTTTATTTTATTCCTCTTCCTAAATAGCCCCCTTCAGCAGTTCATATAATTCTGGTTTGGTGGTGATGAACTCCTTTAGCTTTTTTTTTTTTATTTGTGAAGCTCTTTATCTGGCTTTGATTCTGAGTGATAGCTTTGCTGGGTAGAGTAATTTTGGCTGTAGGTTCTTGCTGTTCATTACCTTGAATATTTCTTGCCATTCTCGTCTGGCCTGCATGATTTCTGTTGAGAAATCAGCTGACAATCGTATGGGTGCTCCTTTATAGGTAACTACCTGCTTTTCTCTTGCTGCTTTTAATATTCTCTGTCTTTTGCTCTTGGAATCTTAATTATGATGTGTCTTGGTGTGGTCCTCTTTAGATTCCTCTTTTTGGGGTTCTGTGCGCTTCCTGCACTTGTAAGTCTATTTCTTTCCCCAGGTGGGGGAAGTTTTCTGTTACTATTTCTTTCAGTATGTTCTCGGTATCTTGCTCTCTCTCATCTTCTGGGACCCCCATAATTCTGATGTTGGTTCGTTTAAAGTTGTCCTAGAGGTTTCTTACACTATCTTCAACTTTCTAGATTCTCTTGACATCTTGCTTCTGTGGAGGAGTGTCCTCTGGGTCTTTGTGTTCCAAATCTTTTAATTGATTCTTCCAATCTTCCATTCTGTTTTTAGGACTCTGTATAATATTTTTTATTTCAGACAATGTATTCTTTATTTCTAGTTGCTCCCTTTTCATATCCTCATAGGTCTCGCTTATTTTATCGGCCTTTTCTAAGAAATTCTTGAAAAACTTTATAAGCGTGATTTTGAACTCTATATCCAGTCGCTTTTTGTCCTCCATTTCTTTTGTTTGTGATCTGTTTCCTTGTCTCGGCATTTTTGCTGCTTCTCTGAGTTGGTAGGGTGGCTTTGTATGCTAAGGTGTCCTATGTGGTTCAGTGGGTCAGCCTCCCAGTTATCTGAGGTGGACACTCTTGGTGCACCCCTTTGTGGACTGTGTTTACAGTCTCTTGTAGTTAAGTCTTAATTGTTATTGGTATCACTGGAAGGAACTGACCTCCAGGCCAATTGGCTGTGAGGATCATCTGTGTCTCTGCGGGGAGACAGCCTTATTCAAAAGCCTCTGTGCTCAGCTTGGATGGGGTGAATTTCAGGATGGAGCCTACAGCCTTGGCTTCCGGTTAGCGCCGCCCTATGCGGTTCCTGAGTCTCAGTGTTCCTCAGTGTCCTCTGGTACTCGCTGCAAGCACCTCTGACAGAAAGGTGCCCTCGAGTTTCGCCCACTACCGGCCATTCTAGTGTCTCCCCCAACGAGCCTGTAACTGGGGTTCAGTTCAGTTGGAAGTGGGGTTCAGTGCAGTTTGGAGCTTTTATCTCCTTCCCACTAGGGCAATCCAGCGCACAGTCAACAGTCAGTCCTCTGCATGCAATCTGCACCACTCCGGGGCTCTGCTTTTCGTCGCTCCCCCGAGTTTCCGCCTTACAGCTCAGATTCCCTCTGTTTGAGTCTGGGACCCCAGGGTCTGGCCTAGGATTCAGCACAGTCCGGAGCTTTTATCTCCTTCCCGCTAGGGAATGCCAACCAGGCACTCAGCGGCCCCTCCTCTCCGGCTCCATCCTCTCCCCACGTGTGCATCGTGTCTCCGTACCTTAGGCTTTTACAGCTCCTCTGATTTTCCTTCTGGTTTTCTCTTTCCTTCTAGTTGTAGAATTTCCAGTCAGTCAACTTTCCTGTAGTTCTGGATAATGTCCACTTTATATTTTAGTTGTATTTTATTGAAATTGTTGTGTGAGGCTGCAGTTAGGTGTTTACCTATGCAGCCATCTTGGTTTCTGCAATTTAGATTTTTAATGTCTAAAAATGGTCCTTTTTAAAGAACTCCCCAAGGCTATGATAGCCTAAACATGGTCTTATTTTTAATAAATTGCAAATACAAATACTGATGAGTTGCAAATACTAATTCCTATATGTTTAAAGTTTTAACCAAAATTTTTTATTCTCATAGCAGTAAGATGTCTTGCAATTAAGTTCAAGTCAGTTATGAGTTATTAAATTTAATGAGGTTTCTCAACTTCCTGGTCAAAAATGTTACTTTCTCATGGAGTGTATAAAATCATTGCTTGCGCCGAGGCCGGTTTGGCCCAGTGGTAGAGCGTCGGTCTGTGGACTGAAGGTTCCCGGGTTTGATTCCGGTCAAGGGCATGTACATTGGTTGCAGGCACATCCCTGGTGGGGGGTGTGCAGGAGGCAGCTGGTTGATGTTTCTCTCTCATCGACCTTTCTAGCTCTCTATCTCTCTCCCTTCCTCTCTGTAAAAAATCAATAAAATATATTTAAAAATAAAATAAAATCATTGCTTGCAAAATTAGGTTAAAAAATGCAAAATCAGGTTTACTCTGGCTTAACGTAACTTTGTAAGTCACAAGGTGAGGCTCACAGATGGCAAGGCATCTTTGTAAGATCAAAACTTTCCATGAGTATACTGAGTCATCTTCTGCCTGTCACAGCGTTGGCATTGCGCTGATGGTGCAAAGGCAGCGCTGGATCCGGTGGACCCTCTCTGTCTGTCTGGTGGCTAGATTGTTGGAGGGTTGGCCTGCATCAGCAGAGGCACAAAACCAGGCTCCTCACTGCTTCATTGCTACATACTTGCAGCTAAGAAAATAAAAAAAAAACACACCCAATTTCATTTAAGAATGTGTTTTAAGAAGCAATACAGATCAGTAAACTTGTTAAATCTCAGCCCTGAGTGCACAGTTTCTTAATTTCCTATGTGATGAAATAGGAAGAATTTCCACTGAATACTGACATTGTGTTTTAGGAATTCTGATTATAGTCCCAAGGAATATAATGAGAACTATTTAAATTTTGAGTCTGCTAATGAAAAAAATATTTTCCAGGTGCAGCAGCTGCAGCTGTGATGTCTAGTTCTAAAGTAACCACAGTCCTGAGGCCGACTTCCCAGTTGCCAAACGCTGCAGCAGCTCCACCAGCAGTCCAGCACATCATTCACCAGCCAATCCAGGTATGTGTAGGGTGTAGGGTGTCAACCAGGAAGTGTGAATGCCTACACTGAGTCATTCGTTCTGCTAGGCAGTGAGAATCCTTTGATCTCAAGTGAAGGGAAGGTTGAATCGTATACAATGTCTGATCCTCTGTAAGAATTCAGAAGAGGCCCAAAGCTGGTTTGGCTCAGTGGTAGAGCGTTGGTCTGCGGAATGAAGGGTCCCAGGTTTGATTCCGGTCAAGGGCATGTACATTGGTTGCAGGCACATTCCCGGTAGGGGGTATGTAGGAGACGGCTGGTCGATGTTTTTCTCTCATTGACATTTCTAGCTCTGTCTCTCTCCCTTCCTCTCTAAAAAATAATCAATAAAATATATTTAAAAAAAAAAAAAAGAATTTAAAAGAGGTAGTAAAGAAAATTGGCTTTTTTTTTTTTTTTTTTTTTAAATCCTTACCCCAGGATATGTTTTTATCGATTTTAGAGAAAGGAAGGGAAATTGAGAGAGACAAACATCATTGTGAGAGAAACATCCATCAGTTGCCTCTCGTATGTGCCTGACCAGGATCAAACCTGAAACTTTCGGGTGCACGGGACGACACTCGCACAGCTGAGCCACTGGCAGGCAAGGCTTTTTGTTAGGAGGAGGGGGGTAACGAGAGTTCGAGGAAGTGAGGGCAGTGCAGTGAGCAGTGGCAAGGAAGACAGTGATTGTTCCCCACAATGTTTATTAGTAACGGCTAGTTAGAACTGAGCGGCTCTGATTCGGATAGGGGTTTAGGAACCCCTGTTTTACACACATATGTATACTTTTTGAGGAAGACAGTCTATGTATGCTTTTCAGCTTCTTTTCAAGGAAATTTGCAATCGGTATTACTGAAGTATAATGCAAGATTAAGTGATGATGTGTCTCAAAACAGAACTCTTTTTTTATTTTTATTATTTATTTATTTATTTTTTTTAACATATTTTATTGATTTTTTTTTTTTTTTTGCCCTCTTCCCTCCCTCCCACACATCCCCTCCCTCCCCAGAGTTTTATGTCCATTGGTTGTACTTATATGCATGTATACAACAAGTCCTTCGGTTGATCTCTTATCACCCCCAGATCCTCCTCCCCTCCCCACTGTAATTTGACAAACTGCTTGTTGCTTTACTGTCTATATCTATCTTTTGGTTCATCAGTTTATAATGATCTTTATTATCCACAAATGAGTGAGGTCATGTGGTGTTTCTCTTTCATTGATTGGCTTATTTCACTCAGCATGATGTTCTCCAATTCCATCCAGGTTTCTGCAAATGATGAGAATTCCTTCTTTTTTATGGCAGCATAGTATTCCATTGTGTAGAGATGAACATAGCTGAATTGCATGTAGGAGACGAGATTGGTGATATGTATCAGAACAGGTTTAAAACAGTGAGGAAAAGTGCTGATTAGGGCACTGGGTAGTACATGTCCAGCCTAGAGCTTTCTAATTAAAAAGAATAAAAGACATTGCTGGCTAAAAAAGCACTTAGAAACTGATGAGGTTCCCCCAGGAAGACATGTGGCAGATAGGGAGGATCGGAGAAGGAGGGGAACTGAGCGAGGACAGTGAAGCAGCTCTCAGGTCAGACAGCACGTTGTAACCATAGGCACGGAGGGAAGCACAGAGCTCAGGAATGGTCAGGGTTTGTCTGGCTGGTGCCGCGCAGGAGGTCACGGTTCCATTCCTGGGTTGGAGGCTTGATCCCCAGGAGGATCAATGATTCTCTCTCATCAGAATGTGTTTTTTTTTTCATCTCTTTCTCTCCCTTTCCCTTCTTCTCTGAAATCTATAAAACATATTGTGATTAAAAAACAAACAAAAACAAACAGTGGGCAGAGTTTGCAGATTTAAGTATATGTAACAAGGTCAAGAAAGAGGACCCACTGAGAGGAGCTCCGATAAATAGCAGGATTGACAGTGGACAAGCAGGGGAAGCCCGTGTGGAGCTCAGTTGTCAGGTGAAGGTCTCACACGCCTGTAGCGGTAAGGGAAGTGTGTCCATGTGAACGCCTCCAGAGAGCATCTGGACACTGAATCTTTTGAGAGCAAGAAGGCCACCACTGTGTGTTTGCCTTTAGTACGCTAACGTGGATGCCCTGAGGGCCAGCCACTCGCTCTGTCCCGGGGCTGAGGAGCCCTCTGCGGACAGCACTGGTTTGCGTGGTAGTGTCAGCTGTCTGCACCAGGGCCAGCAGCAGACATGTGGAAGATCTGGATCTGAAAGGTTCGGGCCAGTTTGTACTGACACTGATAGTAAGACAGAATTTTTAATCCAGTTGTACTTAGAAAGATGGGATTGTGTTTTATCCAACCAAAATTGGATTTCTTTTTTATAAGTCTAACTCTTGGATAACAACATAGCCAAAAAGATAATTCCTTAATAAGAATGGTACATAAACATACTTACTTGAAGGCCCAGATTTCAAATTATACTTTTAGTGTTTGTCTTACTATATGTTGTTTTGATTTTTGTTTTAAGTGAAATATTTTTTTCTCTGCCTTGGTAGTCTCGTCCACCTGTGACGACTTCTAATACCATCCCTCCTGCTGTGGTAGCAACTGTCTCAGCCACCAGAGCTCAGTCTCCAGTCATCACCACAACAGCGGCACATGCTGCTGATTCAGCACTGAGGTATGTCTGGGTGTTTGATGATCAAGCCATTCTTCCTTCTCCTCTCCCTTTTTCCTTTCCATCCTTAATGCCTTTCCTAACTCAATAAATACTTACTGGGTCCTTTGTAAAATGAGCTATTAGATGTTCTAATTACTGAGGATAAGACAAATTCCTACCTCAGAGTTTCTATTTTAGCGTCTGGAGACACAATTAAAATATATATATACACTTTTTTAGATGATGAAAAATGTTTCTGGGGAAAATTAGATAGGGTGAATGTCATTTGAAATGATGGGGGCTAGTTTTCCATAACGTGACCAGGGAGGGCTTTGATAAGAATACATCTGAGCAGATGTGATAACCATATGGCTGTCAGGCTAAGAGCATTGTACGGTGGGCCCTGAGACAGGATATCTTTGCCCAGGAAAGGAGCAGCAGGAGGTTATTTTAGGAGTGTGCAGGGTTCCCCAGTCATCGGGTGTATGGCCCACACTGTGATTTAGACTGTGCTGGGTTTCAGTGAGAGCCTCAGTGGAGTTTGATCTGACGTTTTAGGAGGATCAGCCTGGTTGCTGGATAGAGTAGGCTTTAGAGAGGCAAAGTTGGGAACAGAGGAATTGTTTGGAAGGGCGTGGCAGAAACCCAGGAGAGAGGATTGTTGGGGATAAAATGATACGGTTTAGATTCTAAATAGAATTGTGGAGGAATTGAAATAGAGAACCAGGGAAGAAAGAAAAGAGCTAGCAGTAGGCCAGCACTAGGTGGCTGTGCAGCCAGGAGGGTGCAGCTGCATTAACTTCAGATGGAGAACAGTGGGGAATTATTTTAGGGGAGGAAGTCCAGACTTTGGTTCTGGGTATTTTAAGGTTGTACTGACTTCTGAGCATCCAAGTGGAGATACTGAGATAGAACTATATACAAGTTTGGAGCCAGGGAGGAGTTCTGGAGTAGAAAACTTAGTACGACAGTATAGTTTGGCAAGAGGTTTATGAGGGAAAAATGGCTCCCAGTTGAGAGAGCTGTAGGGGAAGAAGTGTTCACAGGAGAAGCAAGATTTATTAGGGCAGGAAGATAAGGGTATATTCAGAGATGAGGCGGAGGATACATGGGATTTTACTAGAGATGAATTGGAGTCCGAGGGTACAGTGGGAGGGTGGAAGTGTATTTGGGGCAGGCAGTGGGATTTGTCTTGCTAGGAGTACACAGAGTTCTGGTAGTCTTTCTTGATTTATCCCTGTGTGTGGGTGCTAGGGAAACCTGTGGCACTGGAAACAGTGATTCGCTAAAGGAAAGCAGGAGTAGTAGGCATGAGGAACAGAGCTGTCAAAAACTAGAGACTCTCCCTAAAACTCCATGACCAGGTGGAGGCAGGAGAGACTAGAACAGCGGGGAGACTGGGACTCTGCCTGGATTTCCTTCTTGCCAGACCAAGTACATTGAAAGGAAACAAGGACAAGAAAGAAGGTTGCACTTAGGATACTGGGCTTCTCGGGGACTATCCAAATGGCTGTGATTAACAGATGGTTGAAGAGAGAATGGATTTGGAAAGTCATTGACCTACAATTAAATGTGTGAAGTATCTGAGTTTATTCAGGAGAAATGAATCCTAATCCTAATATATAAAAACTCTGGGTCCGTAACGACTAGTAATGACCGCAGGCTCGACCAGATGCCAGGCTAGGGATCTGAGGGAGCTGGAGCTGTAGGCCCCTGGCCGTCCGTGGCAGCGGCTGGGAGGAGGAAACTGTGGGCCCAAATGACCAAAGAACCGGGCCAGCTCTCATGGTGTGGGGGGCGGGGCTGAGGAGCCTCGCAGGGCAGGGGCAGTGAGCATGGCGCTGAGGGGCTGCTGAGGCAGAAAGCGTCATGCAGCATGGGCAGTAGAGCCCGAGGAGCCTCGTGGGGCAGAGCCTGTTAGCGTGGAGGTCATGGGGCTGGGCCCACAGAGGTGGAGGAGTGATGCTGGGCAGCAGACATGGCCCTGATTGCAGCCAGGGCCATGGAACCTGAGCAGTTTAATCGTGTGCAGGGCTACTAGTAGAGTAATAAGGGCTTAGAACCAAACGGAAGAAAATAACGTTTAAATGCAGAATAGTGCCTAGAACTCACCTTTAATATTAGCTCTTATCGCTTACTAGCTGTGTGACATCAAGCAAGCTGCTCAGCTCCCCTCACTTTCAGTCCCCTCTTCAATAAAGTGAGGACACGTTACTTCGCTGGTAATTGACTATGTTGCCTGAGGCACAGAGACACAACGGCCCAACATAAAATAGACTGGGTGTAATCATTTTAACTTTGTTACCTTTAAAAAGTTAATAGATTCAGATGTTATGTTGAAACTCAAAAGTATAAATATGTATGCAATGAATTTAGGGCTAGAGTGGAGTGTCTTCCCCCCCCCCCCCCCCCCCGTTTTATTGATCTATATTTTCTAGTGTATTGAGTTTTTAATAATAAATGGACATTGGATTTTGTCAGATTACTTCAGCATTCATTCATACAACAAGTATTTATTGCATACCAGTCATTGCTCTGGACACTAGAAATACATTAGTAAATTAAACAAACAAAAACCCTAATAATCAGATGATTTTTCTAATTACATAAATGTGATAAATTGCTAGTATCTAACTCCCTTTGAATTCTGGAGATAGAAAATTTAAGCAGGCCATTTTTTATAGACAAAATAGAAAAAAATTTTGAAGTACTATCTCCCAGAAAAGCACCAGGACCAGATTATTTCACTGAATCCTACCAAACTCCCAAAGAGCAGATAAACCAGTGATGGTTAAATTGATTCAAGAGAGAAAAAGAAGGAAAGTTAAAATAAAAATTTAGGTGATAGGTGACTGTTAAATGATTCAATCCTTTCTATCAGTATTTGATTATTTTTGTTGTTTTTCATCACTTAGTGGAATGAAATTGTCTTACTTTCTTTGAGAAGGGCTGATTAGGCATGGAACAGAGTGGGGAATCTCAGAGGGAATGTTTGGGGGGATAGGAAGGTAATCAACCACAAGGACCTTGTTTGCATATAGGCATGACCCATGGACACAGACAATGGGCCTGTGAGCGCCTGGGGCTGGCAAGAGGGGGGGCAAGTGTGGGGGGGGGGGGAAGGGGATATCTACCTAATAAAAGATGCTAATTGCCCATACCTTCATTATACACACCAGCCAATCAGGAGTGAGTATGCAAATTACCCACCTTTGTTGGGTTAATTTGCATATGCAGGAGTGGCCAGGGGCAGAGCCCACCAGGGACATGCATCGTTGCCGTGGTGACGACGCAGGCATTCCGCACCACCCTAGTCACTCAGGGCCTCTGGGCAGCATGGGAAGGCAGAAAGGCTACTCAGGCCAGAAAAAAGACAGTCCTGGAAGCCAGGGCAACAAAGGCCCATTCTTGCACGAATCTTTATTTGTGCATCGGTCCACTAGTATATAATACTTCCAACATTAATTATTTTTTAAAAAAGAAGAAGGGCTTATAGGATCCTGTGGAGTTGGGCAGGAACAGCCACAGCTAATTTGTAGCATGTTTGGGTTCCTGTCCCACCCTGCCTGGAAGGCAAAAGCTGGTTCCAGACTGACATTTGGTATGTGAAATTTTTCTTCAACATCTGCAAGGGGGCCTCACCTGAATTCTAAGCTCAGAGAGAGAAACAACTGACCAGGGATGGAATTTGCAACCTAGGTCAGCCTCTCGCTGGAGGAACCACAGCCAGGGCATGGGCATCCTGTGGACAGCTGCAGATCATTTTGCAACATCCCCAACCACAGCATCACGCTCAAGGGGTAGAGCCTTGCTGAAGTGAGTCCTTGGTGGTCATTGCAGCAGCCATGAATTGACCTGAGAGTCCATCCCTCTCATTGATGTGTCAACAGCAATCAAGGCTCAATACAACAGGAGGGTGTATACAACCCAACTCAGCAGCATTAAAAAAAAAAAAAGTAATGAAGGATAATATACTAACTGAAATAATAAATTACAGGAAATCAACAGTAGAGTAGATGAAGCTGAGAATTAAATTTCGTTCTCTGATTTGGAATATAAGGAAGCCAAAAACATCCAATTAGGACAGCAAAAAGAATCCAATAAAATGAGGATTGTGTAAGGAGCCTCTGGAACAACTCTAAGTGTACCAGTCTGCAGCAGAGGGGGCGGGAAGGAGGAAGAGAGCAGGACGTTGTGAACTTCAGAGGCCTTGCAGAGGGCTGCACCCTGGAGCCGCCTGTCCCCTGCCATGGTGAATCCCACCGTGTTTTGGAAGTCACTGTGGATGGTGAGCCTTGGACTGGGTGGTCTACAAGCTGTTTGCAGTCAAAGTTTCAAAGACAGAAACCTCATGCTCTGAGCACTGAGTAGAAAGGACTTGGTTATAAAGGTTCCTGCTTTGTCAGAATTATTCCAGGGTTTATATGTCAGGCTGGTGATTTCACACACCATAATGGCACAGGCTGCAAGTCCATCTATGAGGAGGAATTATTTGTTAATATATTTTTATTGATTTTAGAGAGAATGGGAGAGGAAAAGGAAGGGAGAGAAACATCACTTATGAGACAGAATCATTGATTGGCTGCCTCCTGCATGCCCCACAAATGGGATTGAGCCCGCAACCTGGGCATGTGCCCTGACTGGGGATCAGATGTGATTTTTCTGGTTCATAGGTAAATGCTCAACCCACTGATCCAAGTTGGCTGGACTGTGGGGAGAAATTTGATGATAAGAATTTCATCCTGGGGGAGGGAGGGAGGGGGCAAAAAAAAAATCATTAAAATATGTAAAAATAAATAAATAAATAAATTAAAAAAAAAATTCCACAAAAAAAAAAAAAAAAAAAAAAAGAATTTCATCCTTTTAATATATTTATAGACTGATTTCAGAGAGGAAGGGGGAGGGAGAGAGAGAGCATACGGGTCCTGGCATCTTGTCCATGGCAAATGCTGGACCTGATATAAATGGGTCCCTGTTTTCATCTGCACTGTACAAGGCAGCTCCCATAAGACCGTCAGCTG